GCACTATGAACAACTCTATTGAAGCAGGACATCAGCACACAGGATGCTTTCTTTCACACCCAAAACAATCTGTTCACATGGAAAAGGAGTGAATCCCCTAAAACTGCAGCTTTTTTTCTGGAGGAGAAAAGCAAACAATACTCTTTAAATGCACAAACCCTGGCACTTATAATGCTTACTGCACACAGTAAGCATTATTTCACAGCGCTGCGAGAAATCTTAAGAGGCTAAGAGACCACTGGCTCTGGCAGCAGTCTCTCGGGATGTCCAAGCACAGATTCAGAATACCAATTATACTGTGTGAGCCCACATATATAGTGTTGTCAGGGTAAAACCTCCTCTATTGATACAGCAACAGTATCTCCAACCATCCATCGTGTTCCAAAGTGTTGCCTGAGTACGAGTAAGGAGGGACTGATTACCAAATGAAGAACTGTATGGTTTGACTACAAAGTATTCCTCGTATGTTGACTGTGTTTATTCTATTAATATGAGTCTGTGTACTTGTTTTTCCTCCATGTTAAGAGTCAGCTTCACTAGTTCTCACCATTCAAACTAACTGACTCATTCACACTTATGTCTGACATTGTGTTGACGACATCACACACAAACAAAATGGACATTTTGTTCATTTTATAACCTACGTTCATACTTATTTACTTCGTTTGCTTATATTTTCCAATCCTTAACGAAAAAATTAGTATCCAAAAAATGCAGCTATTGTCAAGCTGAGGACCACTGGGTGTTTTTTTTTTTAAATCATAGATACCCTCTGTGTTGGTGCTCCACACGCCTGTTTGAATTTGTACCAGAATGTTAGCTCTTGATCACAGTCACCCCTATGGAGACATGGCCTGCCAACTTCCCAGCTAATGAGTCCAGCTCTGTGACTGAAGCACTTTATAGCTTGTATAAAGTGATGATGATTTCAGATCTGTACAGTAAATGAACCCTGGCACCTGTACAGCACATAAACTATTAGTATAAAATGGAAAGACATCAAGATAGATAGATAGATAGATGAAATGGCAGGAACAGAATAAAAACAGAATAAAGTACAATGAATAACACAAACACTCAAGCTGTTCCTATGGAAATGTTTTGGTGATACTGTCTAGGACGGTAGATTTGTGAACACACCATCAACACACAGACAGAGTCAAGCAGACATCCCGTATATCTGACAGCAGACACAGTATGATGCTTTAAGCCACTTAATACACTCATATCTCTCATTTCCAAAGCCGTCGCACCTGTCAACTCCTTACGTCGGAGGGGGGTTGGGGATCCCACCAAGCTGTAGCCTCGACCATTTTTGTTTTTTGGTTGTTGTTGTTTTTGTTTGTTTACAATACAAGGCATAGCATGACAACACAAACGTACCCTTGCCATATGATGGGAGAGCTCGCTTTACCTGTCATAACTCCATCTACTGTAAGACATGCTCCTGTTGCTGCTGACTCCCTCCATGTCTCCGGCGAGCTGGCTGGACTCGAGCTGGGATTGTCGAGACGGTCCAAAAGCTTCTTTTTTTTTAAAATAAAAATAAAAAGCTAAAAAAAAAACTGCTCCTCTGCCCGTCTCCTTCCTCACTAATGCAAACGCGTATTAAAGGAATCGCCGTGCAGTGCCTGGGCAGAGAGGCTGTGCGGAGCCAGTCGCTGTCCTATGGGCTATACCACTACAGAGGAGGGGAGAGCGCGAGCTGTCAGCCGCACCGTGCACGCGCGGATGCTGGTTGATTTCATTCACGCGGACCCACGACGCTGATTAATATTGCCGACAAAATCCCTATACAGACTGCGTGCTGCGTGTCAGTGGCCTCGGACAGACTTCGATCAAACTGCCCAGTGTCAATGGATGAAACTGTGATTTGTTTATTTTGATTATTGGCATGTCATGACCGCTTATAGCCAATAGCAAACACTGAACCTGTTCACTCCTTTGCTGATCAATACAAAAAAACAAAGGGCTCAGAGAGCAGCTATGCAGCAGCCCGCATGCACAGTTCTTTTCTTTCATTGGTGCTGAATTCATTTGGATGTGGATGTGTGCACTCTCCAGAAGTAATTTGCCAGGGGTGTCATTTAATGCAAATTAGAACAGGCATCATTTTGATATTTTTCACAGGATCAGGCTTACTTGCCTATTGCTTATTGCATTAAGGTCAGGACTGCTGCTCCTCTAAGGTCATAAATTGGATGTCTGCACCGCTGTGATTTTGTGGAAACATGGAGGTGCTTCAAAACAACCTATTATTAGGTCAACCAGTCCATAGAGGAGAAAATGTTTTAAAAGGAGCATGCAGGAGATTTTCTTGAGCTGCCATTTCAGTACTCTGTGAACCCCAGTATCTGCCATGTAATATCTTTTAAATAAGCCAACATGGACATAAAGGACACTGGAGCTATGGAGATCCTTTAACCTTCTGTACTAACCTCATTTTCTCTTGTGTCTATCATATTCTGTCTTTACCGCAGCCAAGTCTGGACACTATGGTTTGGTTTCAAAGCATTTTGAAGATCTTCAACATCCCCACAAGATCTCTATGACTCACAAAACACACACAATGGCATATTTGCCTATAATAAAAGCTTATAAATCTTATTGAGTGAATGGTGAGTGCATTGGGATTGTTGATATTTCTTCTACACTTGCTCATAGTCACCAGTAGTGTTTAATACAAAAGGCCAGATTATATCTTTATACCAGACCACAAGACCAAAATCACTAAAACAGAAGTCTGTTACACATACAGCTAGGTTAAGACCTTAATGGCCCTTTTGTGTTTAATCTTAGTTTGTTATCCTCTCATCCATCCAGATCCAGAATTTTACTGCTACAGCACAATGTCTGTTCATATGACAAATGAGCCAAGATGTTTACACTTCAAAATTCTGTCATTGTCTGCAACCTTCACAGTGCAGGCGGCGTTTGAGTGCATAAATTTTGCAAATGCACACGGCCTTCTTTAAAAAGCACTTTTCTAATTGCAAAATCAGCCACAAAGGAATAAAAGCACAGCACTCGGGAGATGTATGAAGTAATCTGTCAGAAAACAGGAACAGCCCTATTTTCACAAGTAGAGTGACTGTCAAAATTACACATATTGTATGTGATAGTCTAACTGGGAAATTACTCAGTGATAATGCCCTACTTGATGTGTTTACTCAGTTTAAGACATTCACCTACAATCAAAGATCAATTAGTCAGGATTTACTATTTATGGCTGGATGAGTGTGGTGTGTAAACGAGGGAATATCTTTAGAAATAATGGTGTTCATCCCTTCAGTTGAACACTTTTAAAAAACTTTTTATGTTGCACATTCTTCCTTTAAATTATCACCCATCTATATGTCTCCAATATTTTAACCCCTAGTGGTTCAAGCATTTAATGACACTTTGCTTAGCCACAACAACCCCCTTGTGGTCAAATATGTGCATGCATGTATTAACACTTTTAGGTGTGTGGATTAGACTGGTTGGTTTTTGGTTCGGACACCCTGAGCAAGGTAGGCGTGCCAATTTTTTATTTGTAGCCATCCACTCAAGGGTCTGGAATTATTTTTTTGAATGTAGTCTGTAAACAAAAAGAAAAGAAACCGAGAGAGACACACACACAACCTAATAAACCAAGTATTTCAGAGTCCTTATTGGATCCTTTGTTATTTGTTATTACCTATTGTTTTTGGAGATATGAGAGGTCATATTGATGATGTAACACCAGCTGGAGTCATACTGTGAAAAACAATGGGATACTGCATCACGGATTGACTTCAGCATTAAAGCTCACTGACACGAGGCTCAGTATGTAAGATTCAGGTCTATGCAGCTTTTTGAATCTAGAAAAAAAAGATTCTCTTCCCCATCTGGCTCAATGACAGATTTTATTTTAGCACCAAAAGCTACACACAGGGCAAAAGACACTGATACGGAAGAAAAAGAAAAAAACAGTATGATTTGGATGAACACTAGGGTTTGCAATAAGATGGGAAGTGGTATTTCAAATCTGTGATTATAATAATTGGTGTTGGTTTAAAGCGCCTATTTAAAGAGCAGAATAATTTCTAAAACCCCCTAACACCTGACCTGGTATTTTACACTCTGAGCTGGTGGCGGACACCTCAAGATAAATATATTATTATATTCTCCATTACTAAGCCACAATAAGAAAAAAAACATTCTTGGTCAAATCTGGGTGAAGAATCCAATTATGCAAATTTGGGCCAACAGTCATCTTCAGTTGAACATAATCAAGAGAATTAAATATTCCTCTTTACATATATACACAGCCGTGCTGTGAAGGTGTTTTCACTTATAAACATATAAAAATACTTGTCAACTAGTTTGATAAGAAAATAATGTATAAAAGTAGAGTAGAAACATTTAATCAAGTCCATTACTTCCATCATCTGATTTTCTTGTTGTTTATATTACAAGATGATGATATGAAAAACAAACTGCAGTACTTCATTTGTATGCCTGAACAGAAGTACAGAAGTGGAAAGGGAAGGCAGAACAGTGTTTTGTGTCTGTGGTGATTATAGCTCCACAGGTGGCAGGTCCGGTGAGTTCATGTCCCATTGGAGAACGGCTGTTTTACGATGTGCATCTCAATGCTTCCACTTGTCCTGTTTTTTTTCCAGCTGGCAGATCATTTGGGGGGGGGGGGGGGGGGGGGTTTTAAAAAAAAAAAAAACAAACAAAAAAAAAAAAAAATTAATGTAACAAAATAACTCAAGGACACAAAACAAATACACTGCCACTGTGTTATTGGAATGATATAACAGTTATTTGATCTATGTTTGACAGAATAGAGGCATTACACTGGAATGATCTGAACTGAACAGGGCTCTGAAAAACTTCTTGATTTGCAACATTTGTTGACATTACTTGTCAAACGTTGAATATAGAGCATACAGTGTTCAGTGTTTTGATCTGAAATCATGTTAGTTGTCAAAGATAAACAATGCGCTACCAATAAATGTATGTACTGCTTCTTAGAAATCATAAAACGATGTATAATGTCCAATTTTGACTGAATCGCCACCTTCGAGGAAAGACATTCAGACAAATTAGCTACTTTCGGTACATTGAGGAGATGGTACAGGTCAAAAATCCTTCAATCTATAAGACTTTTAAAAATCTAATACAGTAGACACTCCATATTTGGCAATTGAGATAAAAGCAGAAACCACACACAAAGTAAAGAATCCACGGCAGAATGCCAAAAAAGTTCTATCATTGTAGCTTTAAGGGCTGTCTAGGCATTATATTTATATACATACTTATATATTCACTTTCATATATGCAAAACCAAACTCAACCTCACACACTGTACTGTGGTGATTTAATAGGTCATTAGAAATACACTTTGAAAATCACAACAAATGTCACATATGTACAGCAGATTAGCACATGGGAGTAAAGGTGGATATGGCACAACATACACAAAGCTTCATAAGATAATCTCTCTGCTCTGGTCAGACACTGGAAACTAAAGAAACTCATTAACATTCTGGATATAGTTTTCATTCAATCTCGGTAGCAAGTACAAATGTCACTACAAGGCAAGAGAAGTCCTTCAGAGTACAAAACATTAATTTGTCAGGCTGATTAAGAAGGCAATGTTTAGTGTTGGGACTCTCTCGTGTGAATTAGATTACAGCTGAAGGTAGAGTGGTGTTAAAATTTGGCATTGTCAGTTGTCCATAGTGATGTCCTGGGGACAGCAGTTTCCTGGTCAAAGTATCTCAGAAAAGGCTGTCTGAAGTCATGCACGTGGAGAAGGCAGCGGTCAGTCATCCACTTAGGATGTGATGTCAGGCAGAGTGGGTGGGGTGGTAGAGAGTAGCTGCATGAGTTACAGTGATAAGGCCGACTCAGACGATCACACAATGGCACCCGGTCTTGTCTTTCTCTTTTCTTGTAGGTTCTGGCGACGGTGGACATTCCTGTTCTTGAAATTTCCTGGGAGTTGGGAGAGAGCAAAACTATCATGATACACTGGACCGTGTACTTTTGAGATCTTTCTTCTTCTTCTTTCTTTTAAACAGAATGATTAACATACAATTTCATTTTCTTCATTGTTGTTAAATATTAAAGGCCCTGAAACAAAATTGGTTATTTCTGTGCTTTATTATCTGAGTTTTTTCTATCTGAGCTTCAAAGTGGGCAGGAAAATGGTAATGTCACATAAATCCATGTACCAATAATATGTTTTAATTAAAATATGATGACAGTTGTGGGGTGGTTTGCTTTTGTTGCCAGGCCACTGCCAATCAAATCAGATCGAACAAAAGCCACACAGTCATGATTTTAATATTTCTGGGACGTTTTCTGCCTTTATTTGACGATGGCAGACAGGAAACAGGGAGAGAGAGGACTATGACCGAGCAACAGAGGTTGCCGGTGACAGTTTCAGCCATGCAGCATGTAACCACTCAGCTACCAAGGCATTCCACGGTCCTGGTATTTAAAAATTATTATGGGTACTTTCTTGGCTAGCTGACAGCAGAGAGATGACAGTAAAAGAGCAATTCATTGTCGGCGACTTAATCGCTAGGGCACCAATGTGTCACCAGAGAGTTGTGAATATTTAATGCTACAGCAACATGTGCAACATGTACCAACCCTTCACTGCACTCTGTATTGCCATCAGTTACCACAGCAGTGCCTGAATGTTCCTGTTTTTAGCCACTGTTATACCTTTGACAAACCACAAATTTGAGTCACTGAAAGATCAGAAGGGAGACAAAATGTAAAAGATTCCTCATTAAATCACGTACCTGATTACTCTAACCAGCTCGTGGAAAGCCTGGTCTACGTTCATACGGATTTTGGCTGAAGCCTCCATATATGTGACCTTTAATTGTCTGGCCAGCTGCTGGCCCTCTTCTTGGGTTACCTGAGGCAAAAAGAAGAAAAGAAGAATGATAGGCTGACACTTGACTGTAAACTGAGGTATAAAACATGTGCAGTATTTTCCACAATCGTTCAAAAGAAACCACGTGTTTATGAAAGACATACACACAATGGTTGAAATGCATATAGACAAAAACATTACAGCCAAAGTAAACTCCTTAACTAACTGAGTGTCCATGTGTGAAGTCCTATCATCTTGTTCTACCCAGTTTGTACTCTTATGATCAGTCTAATTAAGTTATCCTAGATATTTAGACATTGTCATTAAATATTTAATCTGTTAACTAATAATCCATGCAGGAACAAAGTCAAACTAATTATTTGTGTAGGGCACAAAGCTGCATTATTTACTGTAATACTGGTGTAGTACAAAGTGAGTGCTTTTTTTCAACTCTGTAAAGCTTCTTCCTTTTCATTACATAGTGTTTTCATTACAATATTGTTAATCACCAACAAACACGAAGCAATTTTGCTACGCATGTCCCACTCTTAATTGTATTTCATTTTGTAATTTCTCAGGTGTACACTTAAATTACTACAAATTTAAATTAGTATGTATACTTCTGGGATGTAGCTGGATTCTGCCTTCATCATCTTTTTAAAATAACTGTACATATAATCAGGACCTAAGAGATGCAGAAAGTAATTAAGTTAAGATAAGACTATATTCCTCTTATAGCCACAGACCAGTTAACAACCAGCTTTTGAAGAAACTGGGCTGATGTAGAGGAAGATGCACAAATGTTTGTCAAAAAGATTAAAGCAAAAAAAAAAATATTCAGGGTAAATATAACAATGCTTACCCATAACATTTTATTATCAAGTTAACTGTGCAGTAAGTTATCACCATTATCTGTAATGTTATCAAATACAATGTCTCTAGCATAGAATGAATGAATAATAAGTAATAAACCAACGCAAGCTCATGTCACATGATGCTTAAAATACTAAACACTGATTTCAGTGAATAAATCCCACTGACAGTAAATAGCTGTATCTGCCTGTAAGGCTCCTTTTCACCATAAGGGGGTGGTGTGGATTCACTGCAGGAAGTGACAAGCCACTGCATACAACCAGAAAATTCATCATTTCATCACACTCCCTTTTCTTTCTCTCATCCATCCTCCCCTCCTGACGGCACCATCACTACAGTCTCTCTTTTATTCTTTCACTCACATCCTGTTGTATCTTTGCAGCTAGGTGCAGCTGCATCGCTCGCTTCCACTTTCAAATATGCAAATGTGACTCCTCCAGACTGGTTGATATTATCTCTTCAGATGATCAAACAGTGGTATATGTTTGTCAGTCAGTGGGTTCAGATCTCTGCAATCTGTTGGACTTACTTGTCTTTGTAGTTCCAGATCTGCTTTGTTTCCTACAAGGATCATAGGGAATTCATCTCTGTCTTTCACTCGGAGTATTTGTCTTTGGAATTTGTAGATTTCTTCAAAGCTGTGAAATATATTACATGCTGTTATGCGGTGTTTTCTGCACAAACACGTTATATAATGTTTTTACCATACATTCATCTAAAAATGCACATGTGCCCAGTATAGCCAATGACCCCGCCCAC